CTTTTCCTTTTTCAATCATCTTTATTTCTTTTCATCTAGACAGACATAAGAGAACTTAGTAGTTTATGAGGTTAAGCTCACAAAAGTAAGACAAGTTGCGTTGTTTTCGCAATCATGTAATCGTTCGCTGTCACTAAGACTGTTTGAGACAACACCACCCTTGGTCGTAGACATCATTTACAAACGGTGTAATGCATAATTTGCAAACGACGCTAACATTGGGGCGCTGCTTGCCTTGCTATTTTCGATTTCGCTACGCACCAATAATAAGCCCTCTGCCAATTTAACTCGATGTCGCCACCAGTTCAATATAGATAATTACCACCCGAAGCTAAACCGAAAGCTCAGTGTAGCCGGAATATGAAGCTGTGGTATATAAAGTGGACCAATAGTTCACTATATATAGACATTAACAGTTTGTGTTTAACCTATGAAATTTCTTTGCCTGAAAAATAGGCTCAAAGACTGCCAAGAAACAGCAGGCTTCTCGTCCTGAGATAACATAGGCCACATACAGACTGTGAGCAATTTCAGTATCAGTTATGAACGTGAATATTGTGGTTGGTATAGTATTCATAGTCGCCTTCTATGATGCAGTTTTAAGGTAAATTTTCTTTCATGTAATCAAAATATTCCTTGTTTTAGTAGGGAGTTTTCGACACGTCGTTCTGACGACTAACTCCTCGATTTATAAAACCAGTATTAGTTTTTAATCTTATTAATCTTATTACTACTTTTGTAATTCTGTTAAAATTAATTCTAAAATAGCCATTTGTAAATAAATATACAAAATAGAATAACCGCTTGCTTGATACCATAGGCGCACGGTATTTCAACATCGGGGGCTAAGACCTTATTTAACTAAGATATTGAGAATAAAGACGCGGACAACAGCAAGCATTTGTACAAGCCATAATTAAGGGGAAACTTAAAAGCCTTATTTCGAGGATGCATTCCTCGAGGAAATCAAACCCGCGTTTACCTGTTTGTGTTGTAACAGCTTTGTTTCTTGGTCGAGCTTGCATTGGAATTACAGGATTAACCTACGACGAACGTTCGAGCTTGAGCATGTGAAAAAATACTGCATGTCTACGCCGATTTCCCACATGTACAGTCCGATCGCAACTGCCACGCAGAATTTACAAGGAAAATAGAAACCTTTCCCGAAACCTTTGCAGTGATTTGCACAACAAAACCTTTTCAGTATTATTCATTGTTGAGATTTTTCGCTTATTTTATTTTATTTCTTCCTATTTTCCCCTGCCTTGCTACCCAAATTCATAACTGACATTTTGAGGGAAAAATGCTAAAATTTTGTATCGAAGCGCCAAACGCCGCCTCGTACGCTATTGCTCAAAATTCATCTTGTATTCTAGTATTTTTTTTTTTCACCTCTCCCATGATACATGATCTTTTTCGTTAATTTTTCCTAGTTTGTCGTCTGGCAAAGACGATGAGCGTCGCGCAGTCAAGATGGTACCGATGAAGAACATGTCAAATAGAACCTTGCAAGACATTCTACGGGTGACTAAATCGTAAGTACCTCTTTAAACCTGGCGAAGGACGAGGTGAATTTAGTATAATTAAAAACAAGTTTTGAAACACATATAATTCTCAATTACAAATCGGCACAACACGTATAAACAAAAACAACTCTCTCATAATACATGATCTTTTTCATTAATTTTTTCCTAGTTTGTCGTCTGACCAAGACGATGAGCGTCGCGTGGTCAAGATGGTACCAACGATGAAGAGTTCAAATAAAATTTGGCAATACATTCAACAAGCGGCTAACTGGTAAGTACCTCTTTAAACCTGGCGAGGGACGACGTGAATTTAGTATAATCAAAAACAAGTTTTGAAACGCATATAATTCTCAATTACAAATCGGCACAACACGTATAAACAAAAACAACCAGCGTATACTAGAGAAGAAAATATAAATGTATTTTAATCATCACAAACAAAAGAGGGCGGAAAACCAAACATAGCGAAAGAAAAATAAACAAAAACAAAATAAGGAAAGACAAATTTTTAGCGTTAGACTCGTAAGTTATAACAGTATTCCATACATCACTGTTAATGAACAATTTAAAGAGAGAATTAGTAAATCATTCTAATTTTACTATAAGAATGTCATGACTTTCGTTACAAAGGAATGCTTGTTTTGTTTATAAGGTGCACATGACACTGACCTTGTCTATGTAATTATGCGATAATCTTTGCTTTTTAAGGCACGAAAAGCTTCAAGAATGCGATGTCTCTCTTCCGCAAAAGGCTAACTTGGTTTGCAAATTAGGAAGGGCTTTGGAACTTTGCGCGATGGAACACATATGGAAGTTGAAAGATAGCTCGTATGGATTCGCTCTGTTAGATGGGGAATGGTCCTGGATATTAATTCTGAGTGATTTCCTAAATCCCTTCACAAGGTTTTATTTAGAGGGATACCTTCAAACTGTCCTTACCACCAACTTAGGCCTTGACATTTACAAACGTTTGGTCAACAAAATCCCCGAAAAAGAAACAAACCACGACATCAGTTATCAGAAATTGGCAAAGTTTTTTGAAATGTCTGCGGAGTTTGGAGGGGTAAGACTAACTCTTTGTTTGTTTGTTTGTTTGTTTGTCTGTGTGTGTGTGTGTGTGTGTGTGTGTGTGTGTGTGTGTGTTTACGGTTGTGTCAGACTACTACTAAGCTCCTCCGTGTAAGCTAATGGACAAAATATATACAACAGCGTTTATAAACGAACCCTTAGGCAAGCTGTACACATATAGCATGTGATATAGCGTAATATGTACTGGATCACTCGAATGGCGAAGGAGAATTCTTCATTCGTAGAACAAACCTCAGTGTTTTTATTCCTAAAGGTATATAACAGGCGGCCATCGAAATATGAAGCCTTTATTGACGACAAGACTAAGTGGATAAGCGACCAGTTCTTCACTCAGCAGCGCCTGGCAGGAGTCAATCCTATGTCACTGAGACGAGTTACTCTCGAAGCTGGTAAAACTTCTTCTAAGAATGGTGTCTCTAGAAAAACAATTACTACCTTTCAAGTTACAGAAAACCTTAAAAACTTGTTTTGAGCTGCTTTTCAATTTTGGATCGTTCTCGATGTTTTTCTTTTTTCAAATGCAGGCTCTTTGCCGGCGCTTGCACTATTTTTCCAGCGGCAATGATAGTGGAAATAACAATGTAAATAACTGTTATTCAACTTCTATTGATCATGGCTAGGAATGATATTGATAACGATAATAATGATGATAGTGGCAGTAATAATGATGATGATGATGATGATGATAGTAATGGTAATGATGATAATAATCATATTGATAATTTTGATAATGATGATAATGATAATGATGATGATAATGATAATGACGATGACGAAGATGATGGTGATGATGGTGATGATGATATCAATAATAACAAGACAGGAACAAATAAAAATAAAAATAAGAGTGCGTTGCTTTCTTTTAATCCTTCCTTTATCCTCGTTTAGGTCCAGTAGGGTTGGATTGGGACACACTTTATAAAACACTGAATACAGAATTTGACTGGAAAGGCGCTGTGCAAAAAGC